GAGGCGTTACAAGTCCGGTACTGGCCTTTTGGGATTAGGAATTTGAAGATTTTTGGGGACTCAGAAATTGGGAAAAGGGGGGAGGGGTAATTGGGTCTCCGGTAACCTCACTCACGCGACTAAATACAACGCAAGCGTTGTTTCACGTCGGTCTTTTGTGAGGCCGTGGTATCACTCCGGTCGAGCGGGCCCATTCGTGCCGAAGCATGGCTCTCCCACACTTAAACCTCTGTCTGTCTAACTGTCTTGACCTAAATTAATATTTAATATTATTGTTAGGTACTTACATGGAATTATTTAAAGTCTAATATTATCTAACAATCGGGATTGAGACTCAGATTTACTATCTGAGTCATGGCGAATACAGTCGGTCACGACAAACTGCAACCATTTAAGTTAAATGTGGTCTACCGCACGCTGCGGTCGGATGCCAACGATGCGCTTAAAGGTCCTAGGACATTATACGTATACCATAAAACCGCAACTACTACAACTACAAAACATTGCCCATACTGTTTCCCAAAGGATGAAAATGTCGACTTTTCGTTAGTTACGTTTACATATTAAGTAGGGACATTGCCATATAGGGGATAGTAGGCACTGACAGTGTACAATTATCGAAATAAGGCTCTTGTAACCACGACCACACAATGCAAGCGTTGTTTCTTGTCAGTATTCTTTGAGGCCGTAGTATCATTCTGGTCAAGTTGGGCCATTCGTTCCAAAGTGCCATAATAACATAACATAACATCACGCCTTTTATTCTCAAAGGGATACGCAGATGTGCATATTACGGCATTTAATGCCGCTTTACAATGTAATACCCACTTTTCACTATTTATGTTATAAGTTCCATGTAATAGGGGTGAGCCTATACCGGGCACATTCCAGACTCCGTGCTACTACTGAGAATTTGAAAAAATCCAGTAATACTTTGCCTGACCCGGGAATCGAACCCGAGACCCCTTGCCCGACTCTCGTACTTACGATCATTCGGCCAACGAGGCAGTCATACAAGTAATATAATTAATCATTGAATCCTACGTTTTATTGAATGTTTTTTATTTTCATTACAGGTCATCCTAAAATCAAAGCCTTTGTCACACACGGAGGTCTTCTGAGCATGTTCGAGACAGTCTACCACGGCGTCCCAATCGTTACCATCCCCATCTTCTGCGACCACGACTCCAATGCTGCTAAAGCCGAGGTCGATGGCTACGCTAAGAAACTCGACCTACAATCCCTCACACCAGAGAAATTATACAAAGCTATTCTAGAAGTAATCACAGAACCCAGATACAAACAAGAAGTAAAGAAAAGGCAAGTCCTCTTAAGAGATCAGAAGGAGAGTCCATTAGAAAGAGCCATCTACTGGACTGAATACGTAATAAGGCACAAAGGAGCTTATCATTTGCAGTCACCAGCGAAGGACATGAACTTCTTCCAATATTATTCTTTGGATGTTTTCCTACTTATCATCTCAGTACTTGTAACTTCATACGCTCTTATTTCTTACGCGATAAGGTTGAGTTTCAATAGATTAATAAGTTACGTGCAGAGGAAACAAATGCATGAACTATTGGACAAGTCAAATAATCTGTTGACTAGTTCGAAGTTATTAAGTCAAGCTGCGGTAACAAAGAAGAAATTGTGAGCAACAAAATGTACCTTTAATAGAACATTTTGTGACTGAGAAGATATCTTATAGAATAGAGATTGTTATACAAAAATGGTTCTTATTGGACTTTGTATTAGGTGAAGATTTGATTGTGATCAGGTTACTTATAACTCGAGGAGTTCAAATTGATGTGATCGATGTTCACTTAATAAAATAAAATGTACATAATACCAGTGATATTAAAGTTAGTCCTAATCCCGTTAGTAGGGGGTAGACAGAGATAAATAAATTGACGTAAGCGTTAAAAAAATGTTATTAAAAATGGAGGAACCTTTCATTTGTATACAAATTACGAAATTAATTATAAATTCTAAGTTTTGACTTGGAAATGTATTCATTAGACTTTTTGGTCACGCCAGTGATTTAATATTCCAGTATTCAAAAGAATTTTGTATAGAGAATATTTTATTCTTCTTTGTCTTTGAGAATTTAGCTCTAACTATATTCGGGAGTAAAGTAACGGACCGACTAGTGTTTTTTCTTTTTCAGTTCTATATTAATATTTTCTAATACAAGCATTTTATTAACTGGTAACGTATCAATACATAGTATAAAACAAAGTCGCTTTCGCTGTATGTCCGTATGTATGCTTAGATCTTTAAAACTACGCAACGGATTTTGATGCGGTTTTTTTTAATAGATAGAGTGATTCTTAAGGAAGGTTTGTATGTATAATACATGCATATTGCACCCGTGCGAAGCCGGGGCGGGTCGCTAGTATAGTATAAAAGGCAATTTACTCACCTTTAAAATGAGAGCATTAGTAAAGGAATTCTTTTTTTTAAGTTATCGAACCTTTGGTGAAATTCCCTAGTGGCTCCATTTCTTTGGTCCTAAGTGTAGTTAAAGCTGAGGATACAATAGGGGACAAATGTTCCACGCCATGTGTTGGCGACATGTTGAGCGAAGCCGGCCGATTTCACCTGACATGATATAGGGTTACAACGTGCGACTTATGGGCTCGTACACAAAACTGAGATGCGATGCGAATTCGCAACGCAAAAAATTACGATACGAATTGCTGCGATGCGATTTCGTGCGACAAGGCGTCTTCTAGGGTGACCATTCCTTCGACGACCGTCAACCGTAGTAAACGTATTTTAAACTGAAAACTAGGTCGTGATATGGATCGTGAAAAGAAGTGTGCATTTCTGTTATTGCTTAGGAGATACAGGAAAAAGAAACAGAAGATTTTGGGAAGAAAAGATTTTGATGCGCGATGCGAATCAATTCGCGCGATGCAATAGAGGGAGCTTGCACATTTTTGCGATGCGACGTCGCATTGCAGTTTTGTGTACGAGCCCTATGTTCACAGCGACGTTAATGTTGCCAAACATGTCGACCAAAGTCCGGCAACGTCGCTTTACTTCACCCAACGTCGCTGGCGACGTGCGTCGCAGGACTTTTGTCTCCTAAAGATAAAAAGGTTGATATATTTTTGATATTTTCTCTTCTGTAAAAATAGCCACCGTATTGTTACCAATCACAGTTACCATTAGTGTGTAGTAAGATAGTGAAGTTTGTAAATATTATAATATATGGTTTTAGTGATAAGAAAATAATAGGTACTTACTTTTCTTAAAGTTTTGTATACATAAACAATTTGCTCATTGGTATAACTTATGATTTATTTTAATTTAAAATAAAAATTGTTAAAATATTTTTTTTGTGTTTTATTGTAATTACTACGTTACTGAAGTTAATTCGTAACGTATGTCTATGGTGTCGTGGTGGCTCAGAGGTTGAAGACGCCTGCTTCTTGAGGGTTCGAAACCTACCAACGGCAAGTACCAATGTGACTTTTTCCTAGTTATATGCACTTTCTAAGATTATTTAGACACCACTGACGAACGGTGAAGGAAAACATCGTGAGGAAACCTGGGCTTATAATTCCTAATTATATATTTGAAATCGCCAACCCGCATTTGAGCAAGCGTGGTGATTAATGCTCTAACCTTCTCCATGTGAGAAGAGGCTTTGGTCAGCAGTGGACACTTATAGGCTGTTGATGATGATGATGGTGATGATGATAAAGTTATTTCATAACAACAAAAAAATTAAAGTATATTTGTTTTAAATTTTTTATTGTTGTCACTACAACTTTTGGAGCAGAGACTAACAAGTTGGTCTAAGCAGAGCTCTTATTTTTTTAATCTCTTGACTATTATAGATTATGAAGTTTTGAGATTTAGAACTACCAATAGCCCGGTTGGCATTGTTTATGGGCGATCGGCTGCCGCCCAACGTGTAGCTAGTTCGATTCCAGAACGGAGCAAGTCTGTGTCCCCAACAAATTGTTGTTTCAGGTATGAGTGTAATGTGTATGTAAACTTGTATGTTTGTAAACGTACCCACGACACAGGAGAAAATCCAAGTATGGGGCAACGTGCTTTAAAACAAAAAAACCCGAGTCGAGTAGATATACCACGTGATTAGAATAAGAAGTAATAAAAACTTAGAGAAGGTATTTGGTTAAAGTCTAAGAATAAAAATGAACAATTTTGATCTTAACTTTAATAGAACTAAAGGTGACATCTTAAACATATAAATATTCTCAAACAATCAGTTACTTATACAATTTAAACTAATATTAATTATTCTACAAAGCAGAGAATAGTGTGTGCATGTAGATTAAATTTGTGAACAATAATGACTAGAAATCGTACAAGTTGAAAATTTTTATATCTACGCTAATAATTTCTAATAATGACGTAATATTCTAAATTAAGATAAACTATAAAATTTATAGTAAATTCTATTCGAGTATAAGAAAACCTTAAATATAGATTTATATATCTAGTAGTAGGGACTAGAGTAAGAACTAGGGTAAATTTTAAAATTACGATTTACGAATGTGTACCAGAAAGACATTTTATAAAGAATAGCACTGAAAACATCCTAAACAAATAGCTAAAACATTGTCCACTATACTGCAAAAGAATAAACATAATAAAAAAATAAATAATTAACAAAAATTCTGCTACAATATCCGATATTTATCAGAATAAATCCACATTTTTCTGATACACATTTCAAAATCTTACTTCTAATTTGTGCAGTTGAACTTTTGTGTCATATTTTAATACTAGAGGTATAATATGTGTATAGTACGGCGATTAGCATAAATCCCCTTCAAATCCCACTTCTTTCTTTAGAATCCAACCAGAATTAACTGATTTGTTGGCTTCAAGAACTTCGCTCTTCTTATGAAGCCTGTTTAAAAATGACAAAGGGATTTATTATGTTTTCGGCTTACTCACGTAGTAATTGGACGAGGAACTCGACTAGTTTCAAGCCATGCTAGAGGCTTATATTCATGAGCAGCATTTCGCGACCCGCGACGTGGCGACTGTCGTCAATTATTATGTCTCACGAAAGTTACAATACAGATAAAGGGAATTTTCGCTTATCCTCGTATATCTCCTTAGCACTATCTTACATCTACAATCATCTAATTCATCTACACTATACTATCATCTAATTTCTTCTATGTCTAACAAGGAATTTGTAAGTTTGGGCCCATATTCCTCGGTTCACCATCCCGTATCGACGACTCCATATTACAACTAAGGTGAAGAGTCGTCTGAAGGTGGATTATATGTTGATCTTGGCTGGTTCCTGTGCTGGCCCGATTACACTGATGTCCTTCTGCTCCTCCACTTCCTCGGGTGTCACTTTTGACACCTTCGAGTCTCCAGAAACGGCTAAACGCATTATGTGATCTGTGTGGAAGATAAAAATCGATATATCATTTGGTTTGTATGGGGAGTTTATTTTATGGCGCTGATGTTTAAAATTACGACTTAAACTCCCCAGGTACCCCTTGGTGATTGAAAGGCACTAGTAGATACTGGCACTGCCTGAGATGCATAATTTTAACTTAGTACCCAGTTTTAACCAGTTATAAGTATCATGTCAAAAATGAGTCTATAGTATTATGGACAGGTTTCAACTCCGTGCAACTGATCAGATTATATATAACTTCAATTTCATTGATGCCCAATATATTGCAATGTAATTATAGGATTATTAAGTGCTGACTGACGGCACGGTTGCCGCGGTGGCTGGGCAACTGGCTGGCAAGGAGGGTAATGCAATAATAAAAATAATATAATTGTTAGCAAAACAATTCAAATTAATTCGATTATTTAACTTTCTAATAAAAATCGATTAATTATTAAATACACATATCAAATATCCCTCTAAATTTTTTTAAATTCGTGGCCTGCTGGCTCGTTTGCCGAGTGGTCGGGCAGGTCTCGAGTTCGATTTCCGGGTCGGCCAAAGTATTATTGGGTTTAAAAAAAAGGAGTCTGAAATATGAAAATAGACTCACCCCTATTAAATGGGACTTATGGCATAAATAGTGAAAAGTGGCTGTTAAATTGTGGCATTAAGTGCCGTAATGTGCACTTCTGCACTCCCTTCGGGGAAAAAGGCGTGTTATGTTATGTTCAAAAATTCCGAATTGTGCAATTGTTTACTCGTACTTACGAGTTATTACTTAATAAGTTATTACTTAATAAGTTATTACTTAATAACTTGTTACAGAACTAAATAATATTTAAATATGACGTGACTTAGACTTAGGTCACTAAGGTATCGTACACAAAATTACGATGCGAATTGCTGCGATGCGATATCGTGCGACAAGGCTTCTACCAGGGTGACCATTCTTTCAACGACCGTAAACCGTACTAAACGTATTTTAAATTGAAAAGTAGGTCGTGGTATGAATCGTGAAAAGAAGTGTTCACTTCTATTATTGCTTAGGAGATACAGAAAAGAGAAACAAAGAAGATTTTGGGAAGATAAGATTGTGATGTGCGATCGAATCAATTCGCAAGTTCTTGCGATGCATAGAGGGAGCTCGCACATTTTTACGATGCGATGTCGCATCTCAGTTTTGTGTACAAGCCCTAAGACCTTTATATCATTCTTTGTATTTTACAAATACCTATAAGAAAGAAAACTTTCCCGACGGATTTCATTCAAAAGTTACTGTTGTCTTAGCACAACTACAAGTTTATTTAATAGTTCTATATTATTTAATTTCTATTTTGGACTTTAATCTATTTTGAAATAGATTAGGATTTACATAATTAAATTATTTACTGAAGATCTATTTGAAATGCAAATAATATTTGATATTGAGGTGAATGTCTATTAGTATTTAGATTCTCAAACAAAAACATGATATGAATAATGAAATACCTTTTTAAATAATATTATATAAACACTTTTAATGCTTGACTCATTAAAAGGAGTTCGCATATCTAATATAATGGTAATGGTAATATACAAAAAAGTTCCCTAAGTTACTCCATCCATAAGTACATCAGCTACGTGCTAATAAAAGTCTCGTCGAAATGGGTCCAGTCATTTCAGAGATTAGCCAGAACAAACAGATAGATAAAAATTGTAAAAAAAATATTTTGGTATATGCATCGCATCGTTGCGTGCACGTTATGTATACTCATATGAATGTATGTAGTAAAGAGCAAATATTTCAATATTACAAACAGACACTCTAACTTTATTTATATTTATAGATAATATATTTATAGATAATATAAATAAAGTTGGTAAACAAAAAAGTTAATTGAGTAAATTAAATGCAAAACTTACTACTACGTACCACGTAGAGTAGGTACCCTTAACCGACGAGCATGCATGAAAAGATTGATGACTGTTGATGAAGCGAAAGAGGTATGTTGGAATCGTAGTAATTGACGTTCCATAGTCTCTACCTACCCCCATGTGAGACAGGCGTGAAGTTATGTATGCATGTATGTATGACTAATAGAGAAAAATAATGATGCTGCCCAAGTCGTAAGAACCTCCGTTTCTTCGACAGTAGCAATTGGGTACCTACTTGCCAACCAATCAAATTCAATACTCTTTTCGAACTGTCAAAAAACGACAGTTTCCTATGAATTTTGTACGAGATTGTGTATTGTGACGTCACATTGCAACCACTTGATTGTGCAACCTATCAATATCTGCTTCAATGAACTTACTTGCTTACCTCTGAAGTGGAACACTATTCCAATCACTGCTCCAAGGCTTCCGAAGGACACCATCCACCAGCGCAGTACTCCTACTACTCTCTTTGGTATGAAGAGCTGGTGTTTCAGCATGTTCACGAACGTCTTGTTCAAAGCTAACCCCTGTGATACAAATATTATAATGGTTATCACTTATCAATTCATTAACCTCACTAGAACAACTGGTACTTTAATAACGTGATATTTAGCCCTTTTTGTCAGCTATACAGCAAGACTTTTGGTAATTTTATTGAACATATTTGCTTAGTCCCGTACCCAAGTGACGTGACTAAGAATTTTGAGAAATCAGAAGACATTCGTTTTACTTCATTTAATGAGGATAGAGGATTCTGTTATCAACTCCCTCAGAAGGCACACTTGCCTCTCGAACAACGAGGTAACGAAGTTTCAAAATCCTTATTTACTAATTATATCTTCCCTCATTAATAAAAAATGTCAAAGATTCTTTGCACAACTTAGATATCAAACACAAATACCTTCCTTAAGCAATTACTTTACAAATAAATTAACAACACAACCAAAGGAACACGGAGAACCTAACGGGTAACCGGGGCTCCGGCTCGACGTCTGAAGGAACAGGGTGGTTTTTAGTCAGTAAGAGTCTGACGCTTCCTCCTGCCTCACCCAGGCGGGAGCAGTCATTCGATGATTTTCCTCACTTAAAAAAAAACCAAAGGAGCAGTGATTATCGTGTCAAATAGATAGTTCATAAATGAATTACCTCTTCAATCCAGAATAAAGGTACAATATCTCCAGAAAGATCCTTGCAAAGGTCTAATTTGTCAGTTTTTAGCAGTTGAATATTAAATTGGATCCTTTGTCTTGCTACCAGCGGTGTGCCTGATATCTGAAACGGATATTTCTCGAAAATCTTACTGCTATAATTATGTAACAAATTATTTAAACAAGGGTTTAAATGGTTATTAATAGTAGTGGAAATTCTTCCACACTATTTGTTCCAAAAGGTCAAGGAATTATCGACTGCCTCGATAGCCGAGTGGTCGCAAGTGCGACTGCCGGGCAAAGGGTCTCGGATTCGATTCCCAGGTCGGACAAGTATAACAGGAATTTAACAAAATCTCAGTAGATAATAATAAAATAAATATGGCAATAGGCTCACCCCCTATTACATGGGACTCATAATAGTGAAAAGTGGGTGTTACTTCTGTGTGCACCTCTGCCTACTCCTTCGGGGATAAAAGGCGTGATGTTTAGATGTTATGTTATGTCAACGAATAATGGATAATAATGATTATGTTTTCAGAAAAAAATGGTCGCAAATCTCCTTAAGTTAGTTTATATATTATTATGTTACTAGCGGATCCGGTGAACTTTGTACTGCCTATAATTTTTTTCTTCCAAGAACATTTCAAGACAAAAATTAGTCAAAACGGTTCAGCCATTCTCGAGTTTTAGCGAGAATTAATGAAAATTCATTTTTATTTAAATAGATTTAAGGATTTCCTTAGATGCGTTGATGTGGACAACTTAACGGATCACCGGGGCTCCGGCTCGAAGTGCAGGAGTAGGAACGAAGCGGTTTTTAGGCAGTGAAATTCTGGCACTATTTTTTTTACCTCACCCAAGGCGGGAGACGTCATTAAATAATTTTCGCATGTCCAATAAAAAGGATTTTTTTTAAGGGGGGAAAATCATCAAATGACTGCTCCCGCCTGGGTGAGGCGGGAGGGAGTGACAGACTCTTACTGACTAAAAACCACCCCGTTCCTTCTCCTGCGCGTCGAGCCGGAGCCCCGGTTACCCGTTAGGTTCTCCGCGACTCCGAGTCCAATAAAAAGGATACGAGTAACATTATATAAAATAAGTCTTGTGTTTTCGAAACCGATCTTCATTATCTATCTATTAAGTTTTTTTTTTATTTTATGCAAATAGTTTTAGGGACCTTACCTTCATATACTCTTGTTGTACTGATTCCAAGTATTACCAACAAAATACGTATTGTTTAATTTTCCTCTTAGATATATTATTCTAAGTTACCTATTTATATATTATACTAGGTTGCGTTAAATAATTGAGCTGTAAAATTTCAAATGGCGAGCAATACTGAGAAACCCTTCGAGTAGGTAATTGTTTGAAACCCATTCGTAATTTGTTTCTAGGAATAAGAAACATGTTGGGTATTCGTCAAATTCAAATCAAAAAAAAATCACATAGAAATAGTAGGTAAGTGCGTACGAGATCGTCTGTGAAAACAATTGCATTAAGTAATACAAACAAAAAAGTTCAAAGTCAAACTATATTTAACTTAAAGGATACATAGATAAAAAAATCATAGAAGATTTTTATAAATCACATATTTATATCAAAACTTACGTGAGACATACTAAATTAATTATAATGTTTTCGGCTTACTCGCGTAATTGTTTCATAGTCACCACGTCGTATGTCGCGAAATGCTGCTCATGAATATGAGCCTCTAGCATGGCTTGAAACTAGTCGAGTTCCTCATCAAACAGTTACGTGAGTAAACCTAAATAATGATAATTAAATGACATGTAATTTTTGATTGTGATAAATAAAATTTCATCTAAATTGCACCCCAAAATATCACTACTATAATAAATTTGATTCTTAACGTAATTCATTCACCTAGTACTGAACCTTTTTTTGCGTAGTTCATCATCTATTATCATCGTTATAGAAAACTAAACTTACCGGTTCAAAATCAATCTCAATTCCATGCGCATTGACATCAGGATTTAGACCCTTGACCTTGCTCAGCAAAGCCGGATCACAGTCCAAGAAATGAGGCATAGAGGCGTACATCGGGGCCTTGATACAAGGAGCCAGGTCCATTAGGCCTTTTGGAGGACACTTGTCTGGCTGGGGACAGAAGCACTGCAGTTCTGGGTCCTCAGCCAAGTTTCCAATGTTTGCTACGTAGCGGTTGGTCTTTATGCCCCTGTAGGAACTCTTCTTTTGATACCATGGCTTGAAGGACCTGGAGGTGGTTAAGGTGTTTTAGAGTTTGAAGTGTGGCATTTGAGTTTAATTTGAGCTATCGAATTTTATACCAAGAATTGGGTAGTTTCCTGGGTTAAAAATAAACTATTTAGATTTTACAGTCCAATTAAATATTGAAAAATAGTTACACTCTCATTCATTTGATTTCCCGATATACTTAACTAGCTTCTGCCCGCGACTTCGTACGCGTAATTCTATTTTTCCCGTCCCCGTTCGTGATTTTCGGTAAAAAGTAAAAAAAAAATGTTGGTCAAAAAGTATCCTATGTCGGTCTCCTGGCTCTAAGCTACCTCCCTACTAATATTCAGCCAAATCTATTCTGTCGTTCTTGAGTTATAAGTGGTGTAACTAACACGACTTTCTTTTATATATATAGATTTTCGATTTATTTTAGCATGTTTTGTACTTCGTACAAAATTCAAAGAAAAGTATCGTTTTTGACTTTTCGATAAAAGTATTGAATTTGACTAGTTGTCAACTATCGCATTACTTTTCTATTAAGGCAAGCCAGTAGTATATTATTGGGCATTCTATACCACTATCGGCAAGTCGCTCGGCGAGTGCGCCTCGCTGCCGATAGTGGTATAGAACGCCCAATAATCGATATGGTCCAGAATGCCCAATCGTCAACGGTCGATTCGGTTAATACTAGTAACGCAAAATACAT